CGAATCACACATTGCATGTCACGCACAGAGACCCATGCACAAAGGAGGCGAGAGAGGTTTTGCCCAGAAAACACGACTCGCACGGTCATTCGCGTAGCCAGCTAGGGCTAGCACATTTACAGGGACGCGGCTCGTCTGCCGTGCCTTCACGCACGGCAGAACTGCCGTACGGGCCACAATCGGCCGTTCGTTCACTGCTTTCTCATCCAACGGACCTCTGCTACCCCACCAACTTGCTTGTTTCACTATACTCTGAATTTGCTTGCGCCAAAAATTGTAGCAGTGAGGATGTAAGGTCATCACCGCATGGGTTAGAAAAGTAGCCGATCATCAAGCTGATGCGTCCTCGTTGCTATCGAGCTGCAGCCACTGCGTCGCCGTCAAACCGCCGCCGCCATCGCCGCGTTACATCCAACGGAGCCGCCGCCGCCATTGCCGCGTTACATCCAACGGAGCCACCGCCGCCTCACTGTCGAGCTGCAGCCGTTGTGTTAACATCGAGCCACCGCCGCTGCCATGTCAGTCAAGATGCCGCAGTTGCATCACATCCCATCCTTTCTCTAGTCCTATGAAGTCTGAATTGCCCCAAATTTGGTAGTGGCCTGTAGTCATGCCTGTTTCTCACCCCAAAAATTGCAGGTACAGCCGTTCCAAGCATAGTCTGTAGTTTTATCAGGGAAACTGAAGAGCTATTGCAATTTTCACCCCTAAATCAGCCAAGCACTCTACTAACAGAGTACTGAAATTTGTAGAACTGAAACTGAAGTGCTACTGCAATGTTTAGCACTGAAGCATCCAAGCATGCTATTTGTATTAACAAAGTACTGGAGTTTTTAGCAATGAAACTCAAATATTTTTGCAATTTTGAGCATTGAAACTCAAGCACCAACAGAGTACTATTACTACTTATATAAATCCCCAAAATACCATAACACTGAGAAGCCACATCACATGAGTGCATTTCACAGAACTACTGCTAAATGGACTTTTCACTGCATCCAAATGAAGAGAGCACTTCCTTTAATTATCAAAAGAAGTCGTCACGGCAAAGGGCTTCAATGTCTTCGACTCTAGAAGTCTGCATTACAAAAAGTAATTTCATCACAATGTACAGCTGCATTATTGAACGTACTAGCAGAACACAATTTCAGATCACACTTACCGTCACCAAATCGGTAAAACTAGGTGCAATATAATTATCTGTGAAACAATTACTCCCGGTCACATTCTGGTTGCTCCAATACTCATTGTTTTCTATGGTGTGCGATTGTGATGGTCCAATCCCATCTTCTCTTTGCTGAAACTAAAGATAACAAAAAATTTCAGCAAAGTTGTAGTTTATATTTTAACTAACAACAAATTTGTAGTATATAAAGAACATACCTTAGGTAATTTCTTTGCTCTCTTTACTTCAGTTTGTCCTTTCTTTGGAGCCCCTTTCTTCCTGTTCTTATGTTGCTTGTCAATCCAGTTCAACTTTCTCTTTCTAGTTTTCTTCTTAGGAGATTTTTTCTTTAGGCGTGCAGCAGCTAAGTGCTCATTTGATTCTTCATGTACCACTTGGGTGGAACATCCCTCCATGTGGTTACTTTGATGGGCATTTTTCATTCGGCCTAGAAATTCCTTAGTAAGGCTATCAAGTGCACTTTCAAGCAGAGTACAACATTCTTCGGAGGGAGCTACTTGGGTGGCCAAATTCATAAACTTGCGATTGAGAGATTTGTAGCGCTGATCAATATCGAACATTGGGTTCTCAACAACATTCCTCCCACTTCTGTCCTGAATAGTTCCACACCGTGCTTCTCTAGTCCATCTCTTCAGAATATAATGTTCTGGCAATAACTTAATGTTCATCAAATCAAGAACTTTTATAGCATGGGCACACAATATACCGATTCTCTCAAACTGGCCACAGCTGCAGGAAGCTGTTTGTTCAAAAGGATTCCCAATAACTTTGCATTCATCTTCGGAGCTGATTGTTATGGCAAATTCATAGCCCACATCTAGTTGTTTGGTGAATGATGCAATGGATCTCTCAAATTCTGCTTGAAAACTTTCAAATATGATAGGAATGTAGACCTTGCTTGCCTGGATGAACATGGGAACATTCATTTTGACCCTAGGTAATAACTCCCTAGACTCATACTCTGAATTCAACTCAGCATCACGTTTCACTTGCACGGCCTTTTCAAAATGTTTGAAAAAACGAAGAATGTCAAGATCTGCTTTTAAGTGGTTCTTGAGGTCATTATTTAGGCTCTCACTTAGTTGTGTGCTTCGCATTCCCAAGGTGAAAGCATCCATCATAAAACATTCAGCCCACTTCTCTTTTACCTTATAGATGCTATCAAGCCAAGTTTGTTTTTCTATTTTACCTCGCATGGTGTCAAAAGCTTCCTCAAATGTTTCCTTGTCTCGGTACTCATACATGCAAGCACTGAAGTCTGCAAGAATATGTGGTTCATCCTCCTCCTCCTCCTCCTCCCCCTCCCCCTCCCCTTCAACCTCCTCCTCCGCCTCCTCCTCCTCCTTCTTATGACAAGATAAATGTTTGATGGCATTCTGCATTATGTGAAACGTGCATAAACCATGCCGTGCCATTAAAAATACATCCTCAACCGCATTTCCCATTGCAACATCTTGATCTGTATATATAGTTCTTGGATGCTTCTGATTATGTGCAAAGAGAAAAGTTTCAAATAGCCATTTGAAAGCCTCATATGTTTCACTATATAAAAGGCAAGCACCAAATATAACAGTTTGTCTGAATTGATTGAACCCAACGAATACACCAAATGGCCTAAGTTCCTTGTTGGTTCCAAATGTTGTGTCAAAAGTAACCACATCACCAAAATGAGCATAATCAATTAACATTTTTGCATCAGCCCAAAATATATTTGTGATCTGTTCTTCATTGTCCAGCTGTATGGCATATTGGAACGATGGGTTTTGGGCGACTTTATCCTGAAAGTATTTTAACATACTCCCAGCTTCACCATACATTAGTTCCCTTTGGCGCTTAGTACGTAGGTGATTTTTGTGATCCCTACGTATATAGCCAAGAACAGATGGTCCACCAACTCGACGACTAGCACACTCATACGCAGCTTTTGGCCCAATACCTGAATCATCTGCAATTTCAATCTCAAAAGCTTGAATTTCAGATATCTTTCGCTGTGATGGCAGAAAGTGGCATGTTTCTTGCAACTGCATAATGTGGTTGTGCTCTAGAACAAGATCGGTTACTTCATAATTTCCCGCTTCTCTGTTTATTGTGAGACCCATGCGAGCTAGACAACCGGTTCGAATCTCAGCTCGAGGTTCCTTAATATGCTTATCTCTTTTGTCTTTTCCTCGATGGCCTTCCTTGCGACAAACAAATCTGCACGACGTGATTGTCCGATCAAACTTACTTGGGTTGAGGTATCGCTTTCTAGTACCAAATCCAACTTTGCCCCCATAAGTAACCCAGAATGTCCATGCTTCATCGACAGTGCCGAATTTCATGCCCATCTGTGGTACCCAACTTGGTATGGCACTCGATCTATAAAAGCCAAGACTCAATTTGCATTAGTGTATTGGACATAAATAAATAACTGTAAAAAAGAGCTGTAGTATTTTTACTGCATCTCACTTACGTATTCAGACTGCCATTATCCTGGTGATCTCCCTCGTTTGTGCTTTCCATTGGAAAACAGATGTGGGATGGCTCCACCAATTGACTAAGTGGCAATAAAAACCAAAGTTCTTCAGCAATACAGAGGAGAATGTACAAGGAAGAAAATCAGCTAAGCATCAGTTTTGAAAAGCAAATTAGGAGATCGATGATGATTTTTTCATTTTTACCTATGGCGATCGAACGTGACTCCTCGCCTTAGATCGCAACGTGTACGCGCAGTTTGGAGCCGCGGCTCGTCTGCCGTGCCTTCACGCACGGCAGAACTGCCGTACGGGCCACAATCGGCCGTTCGTTCACTGCTTTCTCATCCAACGGACCTCTGCTACCCCACCAACTTGCTTGTTTCACTATACTCTGAATCTGCTCGCGCCAAAAATTGTAGCAGTGAGGATGTAAGGTCATCACCGCATGGGTTAGAAAAGTAGCCGATCATCAAGCTGATGCGTCCTCGTTGCTATCGAGCTGCAGCCACTGCGTCGCCGTCAAACCGCCGCCGCCATCGCCGCGTTACATCCAACGGAGCCGCCGCCGCCATTGCCGCGTTACATCCAACGGAGCCGCCGCCGCCTCACTGTCGAGCTGCAGCCGTTGTGTTAACATCGAGCCACCGTCGCTGCCATGTCAGTCAAGATGCCGCAGTTGCATCACATCCCATCCTTTCTCTAGTCCTATGAAGTCTGAATTGCCCCAAATTTGGTAGTGGCCTGTAGTCATGCCTGTTTCTCACCCCAAAAATTGCAGGTACAGCCGCTCCAAGCATAGTCTGTAGTTTTATCAGGGAAACTGAAGAGCTATTGCAATTTTCACCCCTAAATCAGCCATTTACAGGCTACGCTTGCTACAGTAGGCTACACACGAGCCACACGGCGTAGCCAGCTGCACTAGACTACACACGAGCCACACGGCGCAGCAGCAATTACGCCCTTGTGCCTAGGCAAGAAGGCAGTCCATCCCACATGAGAAAGAACACTTGCACACAGGGCCGGGAAAACTCACCCAAAAGGAGAAAGTAGACAATGCACACGAAAAGGACTTGTCGCATTTACTTGACTTGCCAAAAACACGGTAGAATTTTCCCCATCCTTGCCCAAAAAGACAGCTCCGGACACGTCGAGGTGTCACGGTTGGTCTTTTTCGCGTACCAAAATTTGCCTAGCAGCTAGGGAAGAGAAAAGCCAGCCAGTTACTTACACCTATACCGATCGCCGTATTGCCCTACCACTGTCTACGTAATAACATATCTGAGTTTATACGTATTTAGGCTACGCACGCACGTACGTGCTACCTCTAGCGCCGTACGGTGTGTAGAGGGTAGGTAGTGCTAGGGGGAGGTGGCCGCGGCCGGGTCGACGCAGGTGGCGACGGCGACGGAGAGCTGGTAGGGGAACGAGTTGGAGTACTCGAACGAGATGGTCTCGCCGGCGAGGAGTGGCTGGCCGTCGTTGAGGAGGCAGTCGTCGCGCGCGAGCCGCCGGAACTTGCGCGGGTCCACCAGGCTGACGGAGCTGAACCAGCCGCACCGCACATGGATGCCAGCGATCGCGCAGTCGCCGTCGCCGCCTGAGCACCGGTTCATCACGTCCACCGTGTACGCCGGCACCCCGCTCGGCAGCGTCGTCCCCCGGCCCTGGTAGATGGCGATGTCCTCCTTGCCGGCGCAACCCTCGTCCACGCGGTGCGGCCGGACTGCGCCGAGGTCCACGTCCGTGCCTGCAAAAAGGAGACGGCCCCACATGTCATTCACTGCGCAGGCAGGGCTAGGACAGAATGGAATGTGAGAGATTTCAAAACAAGATGGAATCAATGGCCAACTGGCATCAACCCAAAGGGCCCGTATCCGAGGACAAAGCAAAAGAAGGGCGCTGGGCCCACGCGACAGGCTCAAAGTACCCCCACGCCTGCGCGGGCAGAAGCAGAACCAGGGTCCACGAGTGCAGACACTGGTCGGGGCGAGAAGGCTGGCCAAAGCATCATTGACCGGATGATCGGAGGGTGCATTAACTACCTGCCGGGCGGAGGACCTTGCGGGGAAGGACGGCGCGATATGGCGGGCGCGGAGGAGCCGCCGAGGAGCCGGGGGTAGGGGCGGGAGCGGCGGGCGTCGGCGAGAATCCTGCAGCAACAGACGGAGCCAGGAAAAATCGTTAGCTCAGGATTCGAGTGCAAACAATAGGCAAGAGTAGGACTGCGCGTGTGCTACAGTACATAGGTGGACATGGACAGACAGGATGGACCCGGTCATGAACTTGGAAAGTAAAGCCACCCGAAGTAGAACGACGATCTTCTTTCCAACAAACAAAATTTCCAGATTAATCAAGTCCCGGGATCTTAACAAACACCTGAACCACACGGAGCGCAGGAACACTTCGTTGCGATTTATCAGAAAATCAATCCTTGTAAAAGTAGTACAATGGCACCGCAATAAGTGCCAGTTGGGGAGGAATTTAGCCGAACGCGTACGAGGGTTCAAATCGTAACGCGAGTCCGTGTGATTTGTGAATGGAAAAAACGAAACGTCCAGACGAGTAGTACTGCAACATGGAAGCCTGTGGCAAAACAGAAAAAAGGAGAGGGAGTGTTGAGAGACAAGGTTATCGACCTGCGTCGACGGAGGCGGGCGCGAGAGAGACGGAGGCGGGCGCGAGGGAGACGGAGTCGACGGACGCGGACGCGAGGGAGACGGAGCAGAGCGCGGCGAGCAGTACGACGGCCCATGCTGCGGTCGCACGAGCCGCCGGCGTAGCGGACGAAGAGGACGCCCTCATCTCGCTGAGACCCTGGGATAAGACGAACACCAGAGGAAAACATGGAGATCAACGACAATACAGATCTAACAAGTCGACATAATAAATAGCAGCAGCGATGGAGGAGGCAGCAAAGCAGCAGGTAGCAGCGTCGGCACGGTCGGGCCTCGCTCGCCGCCATCGGCTCGCCCCTGCGGGAGCTCCAATCGCCGCGCGCCTCGGCGGAGAACGCTGCGGCGGGACACGCGCGTGCACGCCTAGGGGTTCACGCGCCACGCCACCAAATGGGCCGGGAGCGGGAGGCAAGGAAGGAGGAAGGCGCTCGCGTGCGTACCTGGAGACGGGCTCGACGACGGTGCGGCTGTCGCCGGCGAGGACTGCGCGCGGCGGCTGCTTCGCGGGGTGGCGTGGCCGGCGGGTACGTCCGTGCGGGAGAGTAGTAGTATCTGGTAGGGGCTGGGCTGCCTCCGAGGCGAAATAAATCTCTCTCGCACGTGTGGGGCAAGCGGACGAGGAAGGGAATGTGGGTGATGCGGCGGTGGAATTGATAGAGACCCCTGTAGCGTGCGCGCCGCCAACAAGGGAGGGAGGGAAGGGGCTGGGTTTGGTTTGGGTTTGGGCGCGGTGGTGGGGTGGGGAGGGAGAGGGAGGGGAGGCCCAGGCCAGGGGACCAAACGAAAGCGATCCGGTCTGGCTCGCTTCTGGCCAAGGCAAAAGTGTGTCATGCCGGGGGAAAAAAGCTCTGGGCGTTTTTGGCGACTTTGCTGGCTGCGAGAGAGCTTTCTTTCTCTGCTGCTCCTTTTGATCTGTTGCTCCCTTCCGGTGGATCGACGCCCAGCTGCTCTCTTTTGCTGTTCCCTTCCGTTGCTTCGACTCCAGTTTCATTTTGAAATCGTTTGGACTGGACGACGGATGGTGGAAGGGGGTTCGTGAATTCAGTAGAGCGGGAATGTTGCTTTTTCATGAATGCGCAAGATTCATTTCATTAACAGGTAGCGAGTGAAACAACTACGAGCGGCAAGTCACAAAACTACCTAGTTTTTCTCGCAAAAACAAAACTACGTAGTTTAGCCTTTTCTTTTTCGCTTTGTGCGTTTTTAAGTTGTGATATTGGGCCGCACCGGTCAGGATATTTTTTTTTTGAGCATCAGTACAGACACAAGCGCTCATATACACGCGCATACACTCACCCATATGAACGCACACACGCACACCCTACCTCTATGAGCACCTCCGAAAGACTGAGCCGGCATATCATCTTGAGATTTACGAAGTCACCGTAGGCGCCTCGTCGTCGACGGGAACGTCTCCTCCCACTGAAAGCGCATCGCCGGAAATCCTGAAATAAATTCAGGAATAATGCGAGCACCAAGATTTGAACTCTGATGAGTTGGGAATACCACTGTCCACCTAACCAACTCAACCACAGGTTGATTCGCACCGGCCAGGATATTTAGGGGAGGAATTAACTCGAGGTTACCCCTTGTGGGGACTTCTGGGATCATTTTGATGACTTTTTTTTGAACATCAGTATAGACGCAAGCGCTCATACATACGTGCATACAATCACCCCTATGAACGCACACACGCACATCCTATCCCTATGAGCACCTCCGAGAGACTGAGCCGGTATGTCATTTGAAATTTTATGAAGTCATCGTAGGCGCCTCGTCGTCGACGGGAACGTCTCCTCCCACTGAAAGTGCATTGCCGAAAATTCTGAAATAAACCCAGAAATAATGCGAGTACTAGGACTTGAACCCTGGTGGGATGGGGATACCATTGTCCCTCTAACCATCCAACCAAAGGTTTGATGACTTGGGAGCACGACAACCAATGCGTCTAGTCGCCCTCACATGTTCGTGCTAGGTGCATCATTTGGATTTTTTTATTTCTCTACACGTGTTTTCATATTTTATATGAGTTTTTTGGGGGGTTTGACTTTTCAGTTTTCGCCTAGTTTTCCTAAATTTTGGAGAATTTATGCGTATTTGCTTCTCGTATAAGCAAATTTATGCTTCCACAAGAAAAATCATGTAAGTATAGATTTGCTCCCGTAAAATACGTAGTTGTGCTTCTCAACAAAGAGAAAATCTGTCTTTTCATGAGAAGCACATATTTCCTTCTCGTGGAAGCATAAATTTATTTCCTCGGAAGCACAACTTCTCCGAAAAAGGGGGGAAACATGGTCTGTGCTCTAATTGCAACCATGCTTCCAAGCTTCGGTGTTCTCTTCCTTTTTTGTATTCAGTTTTTTTGTGCAAATCTTTTCTTTTTGCTTTTCTTATTATGATAATGTAGAAATGCTTTTTCGGTTTTTGATTTTTTCTTGATTTCATTTTTTTGTTTTTTCGTGAAAAAAGTTCAACAAAATCTATTAACAAGGTGTCTAGTTTCGAAGACCTCTAAGCGACAAATCCAATAGTGAAAAGTGATCGATATTTGGGCGCATGGTTCAAGAGATAAAACGTTTTCAACAAAATGAATCTATGAAAAATAAAAATTCTCTGATTGCGATAAGTGGCGCACATACAGCGCGTCATTTGTTAAACAAAGAAGGTGGGTGAGTGCCATTTGCAGGGGGTACCCCTTAACTAATGAGCAACTAACTCGAGGTTACCCATTTGAAGGAGATTATGTTGAGACTGGGTTTTCAACAAATTGGGTGAACTTTATTATGCAATGTTTCTCAACTGTCGAATACAGAGTAAGGATTAATGCAGAGGAGAGTGAGACCTTTAAGCCTATAAGGGGATTGAGGCAGGGTGACCCGGTATCACCATAATTTTTCTTGTTGTGCACGGCGGGGTTGAATGCTCTACTTACACATGCAGAGAAAAATGGAAATATCTTAGGGATAAAAGTTTGTAGAGATGCCCCGCCCATCACAAACCTTCTTTTTGTGGACGATTCTTTGATTCTAATGAAAGCAAACCAACGCAGTGCGGATGCTCTGAAGTCAGCACTAGATTTATACTGTGCAGCATCAGGTCAGTTGGCAAGCGTTGGAAAATCTAGCATTTTCTTTAGTCCCAATACGAAGGTGGAGATTAGAGAACAATTGTGTACAATGCTGAATACAAAGACGGAGGCCCTAGATATAAATATTTAGGTTTGCCAGCAAATGTGGGTGTGGATAAAACAGATTGTACCCAATTTTCGATTGAACGAATTGTTAAGAAAACTAGTGGGTGGAAAGAGAAATTACTGTCTACCGGGGGGAAGGAGATCCTGCTCAAAGCTGTGAACCAAGCCATACCTACATATACAATGTCGGTCTTTAAAATTCCTAAAAAAAGTTATAAAGGAATCATTGACGCGACTAGGCATTTCTCGTGGGGAGACGAGGAGAACCAGACGAGGATGCATTGGATGTCCTAGTGGAAAATTGTTGGGGAACACAGTATTTCAAAAAATTTACCTACGATCACGCAAGATCTATTTAGGAGATGCATAGCAATAAGCGGGGAGAGTGTGTCCACGTACCCTTGTAGACCAAAAGCGAAAGTGTTTTAGTAACGCGGTTGACACCTTGATCTCCATCGTAGCATGGTTGTCGTCTCGCCAACTATTGCTTCTACGACTATCGCTACCGCTTAGTGATAAAGTAAAGCAATTACATGGCGATTGCATTTCATACAATAAAGCGACAACCATATGGCTCTTGCCAGTTGCCGATAACTGTTACAAAACATGATCATCTCATACAACAATTTATATCAGCAGTCTTGACCATATCACATCACAACATGCCCCGCAAAAACAAGTTAAACGTCATCTATTTTGTTGTTGCAAGTTTTATGTGGCTGCTATGGGCTTCTAGCAAGAACTATTCTTACCTACGCATCAAAACCACAACGATTTTTCGTCAAGTCTGCTGTTTTAACTTTCAACAAGGACCGGGCGTAGTCAAACTCGATTCAACTAAAGCTGGAGAAACAGACCCCACTAGCCGCATGTGTGTGAAGCACGTCGGTAGAACCAGTCTCATGAACACGGTCATGTAATATCGATCTGGGCCGCTTCATCCAACAATACCACTGAATCAAAGTAAGACATGCTGGAAGCAGTATGACTGTTATCGCCCACAACTCATTGTGTTGTACTCGTGCATATAACATCTTACGCATAGACTTGGCTCGGATACCACTGTTGGCGAACGCAATATTTCAAAAAATTTACCTACGATCATGCAAGATCTATCTAGGAGATGCATAGCAACAAGCGGGGAGAGTGTGTCCACGTACCCTCGTAGACCAAAAGCGGAAGTGTTTTAGTAACGCGGTTGATGTAGTCGAACGTCTTCGTGATCCAACCGATCCAAGTACCGAACGCACGGCACCTCCACGATCAGCACACTTCAGCTCGATGACGTCCCTTGTACTCTTGATCCAGTTGAGGTCGAGGGAGAGTTCCGTCAGCACGACGGCGTGGTGACGGTGATGATGAAGTTACCGACGCAGGGCTTCGCCTAAGCACTACAACGATATGACCGAGGTGTGTAACTGTGGAGGGGGGCACCGCACACGGCAAAAAGATCAACTTGTGTGTCTATGGGGTGCCCCCTGGCCACGTATATAACGGAGGGGAGGGAAGAGGTGGCCGGCCCTAAGGGGGCGCGCCAGGTGTGGGGAATCCTACTAGGACTCCCTAGTCCAAGTAGGATTCCCCTCCTATTTCCTATTCCTAGAAGAAGGAAGGAAGGAGAAGGAGGAGAGAAGGAAATGGGCCCCCCCAACCCTAACCCAATTCGGATTAGGCTTGGGGGCGCGCGCTAATCCTTGGCCGGCCTCCTCTCTTCCACCACTAGGCCCATGAGGCCCAATAACTTCTAGGGGGGTTCCGGTAACCCCCGGTACTCGGAAACTCATCCGAAACGACCTGAACCATTCCGGTGTCCGAATGTAACCTTCCAATATATGAATCTTTATGTCTCGACTATTTCGAGACTCCTTGTCATGTACGTGATCTCATCTGGGACTCAGAACAACCTTCGGTCATCAAATCACATAACTCATAATACAAATCGTCATTGAACGTTAAGCGTGCGGACCCTACAGGTTCGAGGACTATGTAGACATGACCGAGACACATCTCTGGTCAATAACCAATAGCGGAACCTAGATGCTCATATTGGTTCCTACATATTCTAGGAAGATCTTTATCGGTCAAACCGCATAA